CTTTGACAGAGCGTCAAACCAGTACGGGTATGGGATAGGGGTGTTGCTAATAGCACCCGACAATTCCCGTATCCCTCTAGCATTTAAACTCCGATTAAAAGTCTCGAACAATGAAGCAGAGTATGAAGCCTCTCTCATGAGGCCCGAGAGGTGGTTAGGCGGTCCCGAACCGAGGCACACGGCCAACGGTCCCGAAAAACCGGAAACCGGACTCCGAAATGGGCAAAATGGCCTACGGCCACCAAATGTAGCCTACGGACATTGAGAGATGGTCTACGGGACCTCTCCCTTCCCCTCAGGAAAAGAAACAGAGAAAACCGAGTCTGGTTCACAAACCGAGACAAGGTACAGAAGAGGGTTCGGAAGTCCGGAGGCAGGGCTCACGGCCGCAACTCTGAAACTTCTGAACGAGCACATTATGCAACATCACCAAGCGCTCAATCGGTGACGTCTGGGTCTTAAGGTCGGTCAAAAATGGGGTGTCTACAGCGCCTTGCCTCAAGATCTCTCAACTTGTCTATTTTGTGCTTGGTTGTGGACCAAACACTTGTGTTTTTGCTTCTAAGGGAAGATGGTAGCTTTTATGCCATACCCTCAACCCACCGGCCAAGGCTTAAGGCCATCGGCCATGTTTTCTTTCCATCGGCCAAAAGTATTGGCCGGTCGGCGCTTTATTTGGTCAGCTGGCACTTTTGTTGGTCGATCGGCCATTTTTGGTGGCCGAACCCTGTTCATCTGCTTTTGACAGATATTTTATGCCAGCTGGTGCAGCTGGCATCCACAATTCCCCCCTCCATACACGTGTATGGAGGGATTTGAGCCTTGCTTAGCTTCTCCAAGAAGCTTTGCAAAATTGGATTTCTATAAAAGGAGAGCCTCCTCTCCCTTTCCAAGGGTTCTAGAAATCTGATATACAAGTTAGATATATCTCTCTCTATATCTCTCTCTCTCTCTAGATTTGTGTGTGTTTGAGCTCAAAAGTGTGTTTTGTTCTTACTATTGCACACAAACACCTAGCACTACACTATCCTTGGTTGTTGAGGCACTAGAAGGTTGATATTAGAGTTCTCAGGCTGTTTTTGATCCAAGAAGATTGTTGGAGTTGTGTTCTTGAAGTTGTTCTTCAAGGGTGAGTCAACTTGCTTTTGATACCCCATTTTGGCTTCAGCTTTTACACATACTTCTATATTGTTTTAAGCTTGACTCTAAACTACAAAAAGTTCTGATTTTGTATGCTTGTTATGGTTGCTTAAGGTCACTTTTTGGTTGGGGGTTGTCTACCCCCTCTTAGGCCTTGTTTGGCCTTGTTTTGTGCCTTTACTTTTGAGCTTTGGGATCATCTTATTTTAACCTTCCCACCACTGAAATCTAGAGGCTTTTCAGTGGTGGAGAAGTGGTTTTGGTGTCTTGTATAGGAAAGGGACACCCCTCTCTCCTTATGTCTCATATGCTTGGGTTGTTGGCTTATAAGAGTAGCATGTTTACTTAGCATGTCTTGGTTCTATTTCAGCACTTTTTAGTGGCTTTTAGGACATGCCTTAACTCTATTCCATGTTGGTTTGATGGCATCTTGCATGCTTCACATACTTGTAGAATAATCTTGCATGTTTGCATAACATGCATCTTGTGTTTGGACCACTATTCTTGCATGTTTTGGCTCGACTCAAAGGAGCTTTTAATCATGTTTCACCATGTTTAAGCTCTGTATGGTGTTGTCTTGATCACGCATGCGTTGTTTTGCTTAGCCTTGGTTCATTCTAGCTTGTAAGCTTTGTGCCTTGAGTTCATTAGCATGTGTTACTTGGAGTATTTCATGATTTGGCATCATGTGAAATGTAATTTTAGTCCATGTTTCAAGGTCACACACTTGCATTTATCACCTATTCCATGCTTTGGATAGTTTGTGTTTTATGCCTTAAGAATAGGTCATTGTGCATGGCATCATACTTAGGCCTTTGGGATGCCATCTAAGTGGGGTTTTGGGCTCATTCTAACATGCCATAACTCTGATTTTATTGGCCTAAGTCATGCCATGCTTGGTTGTAATAGGTGTAGTGCAATTGCCCCTTTTAGCCTTGTATGCGTCTTGTTTTGTGCTCACATTTCTAGCATGTTTTGGCCTCATCCCATGCATGTTCTAGCCTTATTTTGGCCTGCCTTGGGACTGTTTTGGGTCACCTTAGTCATTTGGGACTTGGTTGATATGGCCATGGTTCAAGTCCCTTGGCTAGCTTTGAACTCGAAGTCCATTAGCATGCCTTGCTTGTGTTATGTGTTTGATTTGGCATCACTCTTAGCATAATTTCAGAGCTTATGGTGTCACTATACTACCATGATTGTCACCCCCTTGCTCATGTTTGGGTGTTGTGACTTTATGCCTTAACTCTTGGACCATTGCATGTGCATGCTCATTGTGTATTTCATTCTATCACTTGATCATTTTGGCCACTGTTTTTGGTGTGGCTAAGGCCTATCCATTTTCAATGTAAGTCCATGGATCATGCGGTTTGTGTGTTGTTGCATGCTTATCACATTGCATGTTGTCACATCCTTGTTTTTGGTATTGTTGTCGCATGCCTATTACATTGCATGTTTGTACGTTTAGGTTACATGCTATTTTAGTAACATTTTGGTTTTTTTGATTAAAATATGCATTAAAAGAATTAGTATGTTTATGACGACTTTTTGATTTTTTACAAAAAAATGTGAAAAAATAAAAAGAAAAGAGAATTTTTGACTTTTTTTTATATAGTTTGTTGGATTTTTAACTTTTTTAATAATTTTTTAACTTTACCGTAAAGATAAACTATAATCAAAGGGGCTGAATGTAAAGCATGTCATAGTAAGTACCAACTAACTAATACAAACCATTACCTGCACAGAATATACAGACCATTCCCAATAAATCATCTCATCGAACAAAAACCCTAACCAGAAAATCCAAGATCGAAATTAACAACAATAATCTGACGATCAGATTTACAAAATAAACAAATATAAGCATGAATGAAGCATCAAGATGCAGAACAAGTAGGAAAGAAAAACACAAACTCGCATTTTAGGGATCTGAACAAATCCAAAGCAGATGAACAAAAAACAGACAGGATTAAATAAGAATAAAATAATCTGTATGGATACGGAAAAAGAAGTAGCAGATCTGGCGATAAAAGATGACGACGAAAATGAAGATGAAGATGTTATGTATATACCTTTGCATAGCTCTATGATTGAAGAAAGCAAATCGAATCGATCCATCGGCCAAGATAAGGATGAGATGTACACACAGCGAGCGAGAGCGACGGAGAAAGTATAAAGAAAGACACACAGGCTTTCAGGCTTGAGTATTGGTCTGCTGTACCTATCTGAGCTTCAGGCTTTTCCTCTCTCTCTCTCTGTTGGCCTGCTGTACCTATCTGAGCTTCAGGCTTTCAGGCTTTTCCTATCTGTCTCTGCTGTACCTATCTGAGCTGGATTTTTCTATGATACATGGGGATGATTTTTAGAGCATCTCCAATGGTTTGCCATTGGAGCTGCAGGCTGTGTTGAAAAATGATGCTCCTTGAATATGGCAGCTGCCAAATTTGAGAAATGATGCTCCGAAACCCCCAAACTCTACCCCCATTCGGTCTCCAATTCGAATATACAGAGGAGAGAGAGTCCGAAAAGAGTGAGAGACAGGAGTCTCTTCGATCGTCTATCTCCTGATGAATCGGCGATCGTCGATCTGGTGGTGATCTCACTCGCTCCCTCTCCTTCCTTCAATCGCTCCCTCTCTCTCATCCCCAAACGCCTCTCTGAAACCCCCAAACTCCACCCCCATTCGGTCTCCAATTCGAAGCTAGAGAGAAGAGAAATAGGGTTTGTAAGAGATACAGAGAGGAGAGATACAGTGATGGGGTGTAAAATCAGAATGAGGAAATGTAAAATCAGAATTAGGAAAAGGAAATGAGAGAGGGTAGTGTAGAGATAGATAGATAAGGTTTGATCTCACCGGATCTATATAATCCAACGGTAAAGGTACTCTCTTGGAATGTGTAACATGAGCCAACGGCTCTATTTCAATCTGGAAGGTACTCAATTGGACGGTGGTGATTTATCTTGGAAAGACAAAAGAGCCGTTGTTACCTTAAAAAAAAGGCCAAATTACATATACCCCTCGAGCTTTGGCTAAATTACAAATACTCCTGAGGTTTCGGAAATTACATCCCGCCCCCTGAGATTTGTATTTTCATAACAATTTGCCCCCTAAGGTTTATATTTCATAACAAATTACCCCCTAATTTCTTATGCAAATATAACATTTAGGGGGGAATTCGTAATTTCTCAAACCTCAGGGGGTATCTGTAATTTAGCCAAACCTCGAGGGGTATATGTAATTTGCCCATAAAAAAAATATTAAAAAAATAAATTTAGTTATAAATTAATGTTTATATTTTTTTCGAACGATCATATTTTGTAATTTTATAAATAGAAATCTTAATCTCAATTTCATTTATAGCACATATTTTAAATTTTATATTTCTTTTTTCCTCTCTTCATCTCAATTACATTTGATAGCAAACTTTCAAAATTACTTTTGAATTTTTTTTTTTTTTTGAATTTTTTTGGCCAATCACTATGGAAGGTTCATCAAAAATAAAAAGAGGAAAATCATTCACTGCTTAAGAAGATGTGGCAATTTGTAGAGCTTGGTGTCACATTACTGAAGACTCAATTGTTGAAAATTCGTAATCGCATGCTCATTTTTTGGAAAGAATTTTTGAAAATTATTGCTTGCTGCAGAATGATCACTCGAAACTCAAGTGTCTATATCATCTCGATGGGGTATAATCATGAAATGTTGCACCAAGTTTCGTAGGTGTTTAGCACAAGTCGAAAATCTACATCCAAGTGGGGCGTCACAAGTTGATATGGTAAGATTTTATTTTCATTTATTATGTTAGTTTTTTTAATTTTGTCTCACATAAAAATTAACTAATTAATTAATTTAATATTTTATTAATATAGATGCTTCAAGCAAAACTGTTATATCATCAAGATGAAAACAAACATTTTGTTTTTGAATATTGTTTGCCAATCTTGCAAAACAATATCAAGTGGCAAAATATAACTCATACGAATACGGTGAAGTCAAGGATACATACACCATTTTTTTTTCCAATTTTTTAATTTTTTTATTTGTCTAGTCTGGAATAATATAAAATATATAATTTTTTTACAAACAGTTAAAAAAAGGTCACAAAAGACAAAAAATAAACAAAAATAAAATTACAAAAAAATCTATATCCAAACAATACCTACAAATTTGGAGAGAAAGTTAGCTGAGATTGTCAAAATAGCAAATGACTATTGGAGCACCATTGCTATAATTTGGCAAAATAGCACTATTTATTACCAAATTATAGCAATAGCAATGACATTATAGCAATAACCATTGGAGATGCTCTTATGTACCACACATAAATAAATTTGGACCATTAGATCTAAAAGTAAAATAAATCTAACTATTGATTGGTAATAATTAAAATCAGGTTAAGAAATCTATGTAGTTTCATAAAAAATAAGATTGTTTTCTATGGTTTTGAAACCAAAAAGTGATTTTCAACTTACCATAATAACTAAGCCACTGTTTGGGAAATGGGTTTAGGTGAGTTTGGGACTAAAATAGTCACAAAAAACAAAATAGGCATTTTAGCCCTAATAAGACAAAATATCACATCTAATCCATAATCATTATATTATTTCTATCACAAAAAACTCAAAAGTCCTTCCCAAATTAAGCTTTTTAGCCCCAGGCAAAAATAGCCAAAAAAATTAAAAAGTTAACTCACTTCCCAAACCAAAGTACACTTATTATTTAATATGATTATACTTACTATTTTTAATAACTATACTTACTATTCAATTATTAATAAAATACACTTAACATGCTATTCAGGTAACAGGTAAATTTAAAAAATTAAGTTATAATAAATTTTTAAAACCTCCAAAATAAATATAAAATTAAAAAAATAGAATTTAAGAAAAAAATATAAAAAATAAATGTGAATTTTATACATTTTATTATAATTTATGACATTTTATGAAATATAATTTTTTTTATTTATTTATCTACTTAATGGAGAAAAGAGTTTACATGTAATTTTCAATGAAGAAAAGAAATTATCTACTTAAATGAAATTAATGAAGAAAAGAGTGTACATGTAATTTTCAATGAAATTCTAAAAGCATTTTCGTTGTGATTTTTGACTAGTCCTTTTAAAACAAAAGATTAACAAAATTAGTCGCCATGTGTGGTTTAAATTTGTTGCATTATATGTTTATTTGTTATTGGCGTTGTTGGTTTTCCGTGTTACATTTATTTTGTTTTTTCTGTGACTACATGACACAAGGATAGTACCAATTTATATGTACTTTTCTGTATATATCTAGTTTTGTACATTTAGCTAAGGGTGTAATAATGGCCCGGGCCGGCCCAATCGGCCTTCATGGGCTCACGTTTTTTTTAGCGGGCCGGCCTGGCCATGGGTCAAAAAGTGGGGCTCAAGCCCAAGCCCACTTATAATAAGGGCCTGGGCTCGGGCCGCGGGCCGGGCCTAATCGGGCTTTTTTTAATATTAGAAATAAAAAATTAAAAAACAAAAATTATACTAGAGTATTTTAGTTACGATTAATGAAATGTTTTGTTTGGTTATGTAATGTTTCATGGTAATATTTAAATTTAATTATGTATGACTTATGTTTTTTTAATTATTAACTTATAACTAAAAAAGTATGCAATTATGTAATTTTTTTCTTTCGAAATGAATAATTATATATATATGAAATTGAAACTTTCAATATTGCAATATTAAATTATTTATATAACATTTATTGAATGAATAATTTTTATTTCAAAATGAAATAAAATATTCCAAAAATTGATATTATTAAATAAATTAGGTGTAGATTACTGATGATGGCATAGCAATTGCATCACTATAGGTCAAGTACATCCCAACTAGGTCGGCACGTATTAGCCTACAAATTATTTGCATTATACTCCACCTCAATAATCTAATACAAAAAAAAAAATCAAGAAAAAAATAAAATGAAATGAAATAGTAAAAAATAAATTGTTGATCAATCATCGGAGGAGACAAACATTTCAGTCGCGTTGCCCGATGATATGTCATCCAAATCATATTGAATTCACTCATTTTCACTAAAATTTTGTCTTCTTGTAAGCGCATTCATATGATCTCTGGATATCATCAGTGCCTCAACCATTTTCCGGTGAAAGCATGTTCCTGTAGTCACTCAGCACCGTTCACCTGCACTAAAAGCTGTTTCCGAAGCAACTGTAGAAATGGGAATAGTTAGTATATCACGGGCCATCTGTTCTAAAATGTCAAAATTATCGGAATCATCAACTGACGGGTTTTCCAAATAACGTTGTAGTTCATAACTACTTACACTTATATGTTGCGATATTCTTCTACTTTTTATTGCTGTAAAAATACTTAATCTCCCGCCTCGAGATTGGACTTCCAGTGTAGTGTGTAGGTGTATTTACAAATACAGCTGCCCTGTATTCTTGAAATAATCTGTTGCATGTTTGCATAATAGGGGCAAACTGTATTTGATCAGCGAAAATACGCTCTAAAAATTCTTGTAAACCAACTTCTTTACACCTAGGATCAATTATTATGGCTAAACCTAATAGATGAGGCAAATGATGAAAATATTATTGTTACATAATATTCATTACCCATATATTTTATAAAAACTTTAATTATTTCTGCTAGCATATGTAAAACAAATGGTGAAGTAGGAATATATATATATATATATATATATATAAGAAAATAATTTTGTTGAAGTATCGAAAACTTTTAAAAAATCTTTATATAAGGCTACTTGGCGCCAATTAAGTTCAGTGGGTGTCAGTACTCCTCTTATTATATGTTGAAAAGCCTGTCAATGGTTGATTCCGATAATTTTGACATTTTAGAACAGATGGCCTGTGATATACTAACCGTTCCTATTTCTATAGTTGTTTCGGAAACAGCTTTTAGTGCAGGTGGACAGGTGCTGAGTGACTACAAGAGCAGCCTTTCACCCGAAATGGTTGAGGCACTGATGATATCCAGAGATCGTATGTATGCGCTTACAAGAAGACAAAATTTTAGTGAAAATGAGTGAATTCAATATGATTTGGATGACATATCATCGGGCAATGCGACTGAAATGTTTGTCTCCTCCGATGATTGATCAACAATTTATTTTTTACTATTTTATTTCATTTCGTATTTTTTTTTTTAAATTATTGAGGTGGAGTATAATGCAAATGATTAGTAGGCTAATACGTGCCAACCTAGTTACGATGTACTTGACCTATAGTGATGCAATTGTTATACCATCATCAGTAATCTACACCTAATTTATTTAATAATATCAATTTTTGTAATATTTTATTTCATTTTGAAATAAAAATTATTCATTCAATAAATTTTATATAAATAATTTAATATTGCAATATTGAAAGTTTCAATTTCATATATATATAATTATTCATTTCGAAAGAAAAAAAATTACATAATTGCATACTTTTTTAGTTATAAGTTAATAATTAAAAAAACATAAGTCATATACAATTAAATTTGAATATCACCATGAAACATTACATAACCAAACAAAACATTTCATTAATCGTAACTAAAATACTCCAGTATAATTTTTGTTTTTTAATTTTTTATTTCTAATATTAAAAAAAAAAGCCCGACTAGGCCCGACTCGCGAACCAAGGCGCGAGCCCAGGCCCTTATTATGAAGTGGGCTTGGGCCCCACTTTTTGGCCCATGGGTCGGGTCGGGACGCTAAAAAAGCATGAGCCCACGAAGCCTGATTAGGCCAGGTCGGACCATTATTACACCCTTAAACACAGCACATGTACTGCATTGTTTAACAACTTGTTTTTTATTTTTTGAATTTAATTTTCCAAATTTTTTTTTACAACTATTATATTTTTTCAGTGTTTTTATGTTAGGTGCATAATTAAAGAAATTGCTTAGAAAATGAAAAGAAATACTTCAAATTATAATTTTTTGATCTGTGATTCTTGAAAAACCGAGCCAAACAAACTGATAACATTTCACAAATCACAACATAACATTTTCGTAAATTAATAGTTTTTTAGTGACAATTTTTTTTGGAATACGAAATTCATGAAGTCCTATATTTGATTTCTTCGTATATATTTTGTGGAAAAAATAGAGTTTTGCAAAGACTTTGATATTGATGTGTTCATGAGTGTGAAATGAAGATTTCAAAAGAGTTTTGACATATGTACAATTACTAGGGAACTTGTGAAACTTGTTTCGTAATGAGTTTTGAAAATATTTTTTCAAAATAAATTTAATAAATATATTACTTTCCACAAATTATAACAAAATATTTTCGTCAATCAAATTGCAACATTTTTTTTTCTCTGTCTATTTTTCCAAATTATGGTGAAGTACAAATTGTAGATTTTTTTTTTTGGTACAAATAATTTCACATATACACATCCGCGAAGTCCTTTATATGTATGCATACCAACAATATGTGCCAACAGTTTCATATTTATAGGTGACTTGCTGCTTGTACCGCTGCTGCATCACTTCACCTGACAGCATGTCAGGTGAAATCACATGATCACAAATTGCACAACAAATTTTGGAAGGGCAAAACTATCATTTTACTCATGTTCACTTTATTTATATTATTTCCTTTCACATCTTTTTTACATTTTTTTTTAAAAGTCAAAAAATTCTTTCCAAACATACTAGGGGTCATCCCCACGACCCGCATCGACTGGTGATTGGCCAATTTTTTTTCCAATCTTTTTTTTTTCTCCAGCTCCAATCACCAACCCCCATGTGTAAGGGTGGTGGGGGTGGAGAGGAGAAGGGGTCTCAATCACTTCCGAGTTTATAAAATGCTGTCATACTGGCCAAGCCAATGTCCTTTATGATGCACAATTAAAAGATGTATAAAATAGTACAATCGCTCACCCTATATAAAGACACCCAATTGAGTCACCAATATATATCGCTTAATATTCTCAATATTGTTACACCATGAACATTGCTTTCTCATCTTATAGCTTAATAATTTTCAATAAAAATTTGTTCAACAAGAGTACAAATTTTAGTAGAGAATAAATTATTCAACATTGACAATTATAAATTCATAATTTCACAAATAACATTGACAATCATTATTGTTTATATGACACAAATCATACATGTAAGTCTATCTTGTGTTTCAAAGCCTACAGTAATTTGTGAAGGTCTTTCCCTCCAACTCTTTACTGAAGAACCTTTGCTTGTAATCTGACAGTGTAAATTGTCGAAAATGAGCTGTTCTCCAGCGACACTAGCTCAGGCAATGGTTTGTACAATCTCTCTCTATTGCTCGAGTTGAAGAAAACATCAAAACACGCAGCTCCTCAAGGGGGTTCACTAACACTCTATGCTCCACACTTTTTTATTCATCATTGAAAATGATCTGCAAAAGAGTGCTTTTATTTAATAGAGAAAAATATAATAATTTAATAATAATAATGATAAAACGATACAAATTGATAAAAATAAAAATCAATAGGTAAGAAACCAACTGCTAGAAAAATAGAACTCCCAACAGTTGTTATGGATGTCAAATAAAACACAAAGGGGGTGAAGGCAAAAAAAAAAAAAAAAAAGGCACCCCAAAACAACTGAAATATTAGGATCAGATTTTTTAACCCATATAAGCAATAAAATTAAATTTTGTAGAGAAAAGGCATCTCGCAGAATTGTTCACCAAAAAATATTTCCAAAAATTCAAATATTTTCATCACGGAAGTTCAAATAAGAAAATCACAAATCAAAAAATGAAAACTATCCCATTTAGACCCTTAATTTATGTATTTATATCATTTTCACGACAACTAGCAAATGGTTAACAAAACTTTACTCTCTATTAATACAAAACCTATTAGAACCATGAGTCCAAGAAAGGAAAAGGAAAACAAAAACTAAAGCGATGGCAAGCATTGTAAATTATAGATTCATAATTTAGGATTGATGAATCTATAGCATGTGACAAATATATAGAAACAAAAGAAACAAAGATAAGTTCATGCCCTAACGACTACAAATTTTCAAGACATTGCTTGATTACTACAAAAGTAGGTTGAAACCCAATACAAATAAAGCCCTAGGCTTATACAAAACAAAAATAAGCGTTCAGCACCACTGTCCTCCCAACCTATCCCCTTGGCAAAGACATACTATAAGCACTTGAAAGTTGTTTTCACATAGGGTGACCTAATGCCCAGTAGATATAAATTTAATGATCTGTGTGATGCTCAACAAAGTCATATGATGAATGCATATGAAATGCTATTATAAAAATGCGCTCTCTCTTTTTCAAAACAATACAATGCCAAGTTTATATCACAGTTTATAAATCATTGCTTCCAAAACAGAAATTATGGTGGTAAATACACACTAGGAATTTCTAGATACGTGTCTGCAAGTAGACTATAAAAGTACTACCAAAGCCACTTTACCGGCAACTAACCCGAAGGATGGAATCCTAACCACGCGGATTTCTAAACTTTCACCAATGACGCAAAGGCCAACTTCATTAACCACAACCATACCCCCGAACCAGATTCACCAAGATATTCACTCATTTTTCTCAAAACGATGCTTTTCAATGCATAAGTATAAAACATATGTTCGATTTGAATGCATGAGTGAATGGGTTTTCGTTAACCTAGTTCATATGCAATCCACCAAAACTTCAGGCTCGAATTCTTCAGAATCCACCGAAGAACAACTCTCTTTTGTGTAGAACAAACAAATAATCCTTTGATGTATACTCTTTAAACCATGAGTTGAATACTCAATCAAAACATCAAAGAAAACTAGCAAAATATCCCCCAGATATAAACCCTAGAACCCAAGAAGAAGATCTGGAGAAGTAATCCTAGATTTGGAGCAACTTGCGAATTTATAGAATCTGAAATCGCGAGGTCCGCACGAGCGTGGGAATTGACGCTCGAGCGGGGACTATATGACGTGTTCCGCACTAGGGTGTACACTCAAGCGAGGAAATGGACCCTCGAGCATGAAAACACGGATCACAGTATATTTGCACTCATCAAACTTTTGAAACTCAGCATTTTCCGCTCGAGCGGGGTTTGCTTCGGGGGCGCTGCCCCTCGACCCCGCCGTGGCGCTGCCCCGGACCCGCCAAGGGGCGCTGCCCGCTAGACCCCCACGAGCTGACTGGGCAGCTCGATCCCCGTCATAATCAGCGAAGTAGCAATCTTGAAAGAATTAACATCACAAAACTTCTCTGCAAGGCACAATTCGGGTTGGATTCACATCTAAAAACTCATAGCCTTACTGAAATAAAAAGTGCGAAAACAAATACAACTGAAAGAAATTTTGTCAAATGGGATTGCCAAGAATAAAAACCTAACACACTAGAGCGACTCATCCACTGTTTGAGCGAATCCAAGATAAAACAGGAAAAACCTCCCTAGAAATACTAAACCTAACCTCTTTCAAAACACAACCTAAAGATCCCATTCACAACCCAAAGATTACATATAACAAGAACAGATGCCAACAACACCAATAGACACAAAATTCATAACCAAAGAGTATAAAAGGATAGAGTCTTAACCCGAGCTGCTATAGGCACCATATAGTGAGAATGCTGTTAATTTTCTTTTGTGCCTTTCGTTTTTCTAAATAGAAATCACAGGAAATTGATAACGTTGCAAAAGAATATTTATCTACAACTAAATGCAACTTTTGCCCATGCTTTTTCACTCCGGTGAGGAGTATACTGTGCAAAAAGACTATACCATCAAATTTATGCTTTCAAAACAAACTTATTAACACAAAAGAAGGGGTTTATAATTCACCCAAGCCATGTAAAGTTGGTAGGGTTCATAGTCAAACTGGGTTCCAAATCAAATTCTAAGAAGTTTGAACTCAAATTCAAATTGCAAAAGGCAGCTTTACCAATCTCAGTTGATATTGGCAATAATTTCAGAAAGTTAAGCGAAGCTAAAAGTTTTTTGAAACAAGAACAATCTTGGTATATATGCATGTACTTGTAACCGGAATGAATTACATTAGACCTAAGCCTAACTAGATAATAATTAAGTACATAATTAAGATCCTAATCATCCCTCATTCCATTATATTTAAACTAAATCAAAGCACTATTCATTTGAATTGGAACCAAGGGCAAAATAGTCTTTTTACCATTTTTTTTCCCTATAAAAATACCACTCATCTCCACTTGTTGAACACACATACACACATACACACTCACACACTACTCCCATGGTTGAGAGAGAAAAGAGAGAGTTTGGTGGTGGTAGAGAGGAAAAATTATGCAAACATCCTAGATAACAAGCAAGCCACATTACCACAATATCTTTTATATTCCTCTTTCAAATACATGTTTTTAGAGGTTTTAAACATTATTTTCAGATGTGTTCTAAAGGTGTTCTTGTGTTAAAAAAGAAAACAGTTGAGATTTGTTCCACCCTTGTGTTCTCTTAATAGGGTACAAAACTATCTTTTTCTACACCTATCTCACATAATTTCCAAAGGCACATCTTCAATCCAAAATTCTGAGTTAAATACATATTATTTAGCATATTTTCATCATAATAGAAGTGAAAAATTATCCATGATTACCCTCTTTTCTTACTTTTTTTTCTTCTTATTTCAAGCTTTGTGCTCAAAGAACCAGGATTTGCAGCCCACTTGCAAAAATTCTAAGAAAAATGCAAGAAAATCGCCTTAATCTCATTTTTATGTCAAAACCTTCCTTTAAGTGTTAGCTTTCATGAAAAAAAAAAAAGTTTTATCGAAAAAGAGTGAGCAGTTTGAGAGAAAACCTGATTTTTGTAACAGTTGACGAATCTAGACAGCGCTGGAGTATTTCGTAAATAACTAAAAATCTAAGAAAGCTATGCCAACAATTTCATATTTCCCAGGCATATAGGTGACTTGCTGCTTGTACCGCTGCAGCATCACTTCACCTAACAACATGTCAGGTGAAGTCACATGATCACAGATTGCACGACAAATTTTGGAAGGGCAAAACTATCATTTTACTCATGTTCACTTTATTTATATTATTTCCTTTCACATCTTTTTTACATTTTTTTTTAAAAAAAGTCAAAAAATTTTTTCCAAACATACTAGGGGTCACCCCCACGACCCCCATTGGCTGGTGATTGGCCAATTTTTTTTTTTTTTTTCTTCTCCTACAATCACCAATCCCCACGTGTGTGTAGGGGTGGTGGGGGTGGGAGGAGACGGGGTCTCAATCACTATATGAGTAAAAATCACATGTTCAATCTCCTCTTTTTCAACTCAAACAAGAATAATAACATTCTTTTAAGATTTCATCCATTTCCTTCATTGTTTAATTTAATAATCTCTAAAAGTTTCCATAATTTCAAACATATGTTTCTTTCAAAAAGCCTCATTTAAAAGCAATTTTCGTAGTTTCAATACTTTTCATCAACAAAATCATTCCAACAACATTTCAAAGGAAACCATCCCAAAACCCCTCTTTTATAAATCAATTTAAACCCAAATCAAATCCAATTCCCTCGAAGTGCTACACTATTCAAGGAGCATATAATAAAGCTAAATATCATATAAAACATTAAAGAAATCCCAACCTCAAACTAGAAAAGAGGAAGAAGCAAAGAACAATCCCAAACTGATGAAGAGAAACTCAAATTTTTTCAGATTAAAACGTTCCTCCCCTCGAGCTCTACCTTTAATCCCAATTCACGGAAGATTTAGGCAAGAATTTTAGAGAGATGAGAGAAATTGGGTTTAGAAACTTTACAGAGAGAGAGAGAGAGAGAGAGAGAGAGAGAGAGAGAGAAGTCAAAAAAGGATCTTTTTCCACAGCTTTATACAAACAGACCGCTCGAGCATTAGACACACCACATCGCTCAAGCGACCAAAACTAGGCTCGAGCGAATAAACCAAACTCCCAGAAGGTTAACCTTGTAGAATAGACCGCTCAAGTGCAGAATACAAGCTCTTAGTAATTCAGACTGCAAACAGGCCCCTTGGGTGACCAAAACATTGCTCGAGTGAAGAATACCCTGCTCCCAAAAGTTCTGACTGCAAATCCTGAATCTGGGAGAAATGAAAGACTGCTTGAGGGACCAACCCATTGCTCAAGCGAACCCAAGATAAAACAGGCAAAACCTCCCCAGAAATACTAAACCCAACCTGTTTCAAAACACAACCTAAAGATCCAATTCACAACCCAAAGATTACATATAACTAGAATAGATGCCAACAACACCAATAGACACAAAATTTAGAACCAAATAATATAAAAGGATCGAGTCTTAACCCGAGCCGCTATAGGATCCATATAATGAGAATGCTATTAATTTTCTTCTGTGTTTTTTTGTTTTTCTAAATAGAAATCACAGGAAATTGACAACATTGTCAAGA